TTTTAATCGAAATTCACATTGCATTAAAAGCTGAGGCTAAACTCGTTTAGGATATGAAACTTTGGTTTCCGAGACAGTTCGAACCTGGACTGACTTCCAAACACCACGTGTTCAGTTATGGATGACGCTAGCTGACTGCAATTGACTGGTGTTTTCTTCCAGTAAACATTACGGTATTTGTACTCTACGGTTCATTGCATCCACTTGTCATCGAGACTCATATGGAGCCAAACAAACGGCTCGAATTGATGTGGAAGGAATATAAGAAGCTTTCGCCCCTCGGGCTTCCGTATCTAGTAGCAATAGATCACCGACACCTCCGAATAAGAACTTAAGTATAGTCAACGAGCAAAACAGAAATGCTAGTGATGAAACACTCTTTCCAGTTCTCAAGAAAATATCAAGTTTCTTTTAAGAGGACCTCAGAAAAGTCAATTTTGCCGCCTCATTTGTTCACTATCCAATATCTTTTTCACGAGCTAGTGTAAACCAATTTGATTTCCTCGCGCTCGATCCTTGTTCTTTCGGTACGGTTCCAGGTTATCGGTAATGTCCAATGGATGGAGGTCTAGCCACTCGACTGTCTAATTCTAGTCAGTTGGTTGTGAGTTTGTAAGTCTCGGGATTTGAATGAAACGTTTGTTTCAGGGCAGAAGGGTTTCTGGATACTAGCAGTCGTCACATTACCAAACCGGAGATCAGTTAGTTGCAATGTGGAGAGTAATAAGGGTAATAAGGATAAAATTCTAATGATAATATGAATAAAATTTCAGAAATGAGTAATATGTAGGTGAATTTAGCTTATTACTTGGTAGTGAAGATTGTTAACCAATGCCAAAATTTGACTATTCGTTTAGAGTGTGTGTGTCTGAGATCAATTTTGCCTTGTTGAGAGTCTAATTTCTGGATATTTCCCCTAAAGCTTTGCGTAAAGACCGAGATTAAACAAGTATTTGAAGGGATGCTTATGATTGTTAAGAATGTTATGAGTCATCAGAAAGTCACTTCAGAGACGTCCATACCCTAAAGCGACCTGAAGCGTTCTTTATAAGGTTTGAACTTGATTCCTCACACTGATTTCGTGGTTCACCTTCAGATATATTCTAGTGTAATCTTATTCTTTTTAATGGGGAAAGAAACACTATAGTTCCATACTCTGAATGTAGCTAAATTAAGCTTTATTGAGTAAATGGAATTTCCTACTATCAAACTAGCCGAAAATTTGCTCTAAAATGACCAGTGCAAGGTTGTTCAAAAGGCATTTTTGTCACAGTAGGCTTAAGACTTTAGATCATAAAGTATCAAGACTCACAGATCTTTTTTGATCTGGAGAGTTATCTAGGTTTTAAATATAGTCTGCGGTGTCTCAGGTGGATTAGTTTTCACTTTGAAGTGGCAAAGTGCACAACTATGACGTCGAGTCAGATCCTCCCGAAGAGCTTGCTCATAGTCATGGCTGCACATATTTCTCTAGAGTTTAACCTTAGGGGTTTCTCATGGGAATCTCATGGACCAAGCATCATTAAAGCATCCTTCAAAACAAAGAAAGAGGACATTACAATCAACGTCATCTAATGTTATGCACCTACCAACGACTACAATGACGACGTTAAAGATCAAGTCTACGAAAGGCTGCAGTCAATCGTCGAGAAATGTTCACCGAAGGATTTGACGATTCTTATGGGAGACCTGAATGCCGAGGTTGGAATTCAACAACACTGGATATGAAGATATCATGGGACGACATGGACTGAGAGAAAGGAACGAAAACGGTGAGAGATTTGCAAACCTGTGTGCCTTCAACAAACTGGTCATCGGTGGCACAATATTCCCGCACAAACGCATTCACAAAGCCATATGGATTTCACCGGACCACACTACTCAAAACCAAATTGATCATATCTGTATCAACAAAACGTTCCGAAGGACTATGAAGGATGTGAAAACCAAGAGGGGAGCTGATATAGCCTCAGATCACCATTTGCTGGTCGCCAAAATGAGACTGAAACTACAGAAGCACTGGACAACGGGACAGACGACATCACAGAAGTTTAATACGGCCTTTCTTCGGGATACTGTAAAGCTCAACGAATTCAAGATAGCCCTCACCAATAGGTTCCAGGCCTATCAGGATCTACTCAATGGAGAGGACGCAACATTGGAGAACAATTGGAAAGGGATCAAGGAGGCAATCACTTCAACATGTCACGAAGTTCTGGGTCACAGGAAGTACCATCATAAGGAATGGATCTCTGTTGGTACTCTCGCAAAAATTGAAGAAAAGAGGAACAAGAAGGCAGTAATCAACGTCAGCCCAACAAGAGCAGAGAAAGTTGCCGCACAAGCATACACAGAAGCAAACAGGGAAGTGAAGAAGAGCATCAGAGCTGACAAACGAAAATATGTGGAAGATCTAGCATTGATGGCGGAAAAGGCTGCAAGAGAAGGAAACTTGAGACAATTGTATGAAACAACAAAGAAGTTCACCGGAAACTATCGTAAACCAGAACGACCAGTGAAAATCAAGGAAGGCAAATTAATCAGTAACACTGAAGAACAGCGAAATAGGTGGGTAGAGCACTTTAAGGAACTCCTGAATCGACCAGCTCCACTCAACCCGCCCAACATCGAAGCAGCATCTACGGACCTCCCAATTAATGTTGGCACACCTACGATTGAGGAGATCAGTATGGCCATCAGACAAATCAAGAGCGGCAAAGCAGCAGGCAAGGTTGCTTACTCTCACCCTTTCTCTTTCTCCTGGTCATCGACTGGAGTATGAAGACGTCGACATCTGGAGCGAAGCACGGCGTCAACTGGACAGTTAGGACGCAGCTGGACGTTCTGGACTTCGCAGATGACTTGGCTCTTCTATCTCACACACAACAACAAATGCAAGAGAAGACGACCAGTGTAGCAGCAGCCTCTGCAGCAGTAGGTCTCAACGTACATAAAGGAAAAAGCTAAATTCTCCGATGCAACATAACATGCACCAACCAAATCACTCTTGATGGAGATGCCTTGGAGGACGTAAACACCTTTACATATCTTGGCAGCATCATCGACGAGAAAGGTGGATCCGATGCAGATGTGCGGGTGCGGATTGGCAAAGCAAGGGCTGCATTTCTACAATTGAAAAATATCTGGAACTCCAAACAATTTTCAACCAAAACCAAAATCAGGATTTTCAATACAAATGTCAAGACAGTTCTACTGTATGGAGCGGAAACATGAAGAACTGCGAAAGGCATCATCCAGAAGATACAAGTGTCGATTAACAGTTGTCTACGCAAAATACTTCGGATTTGTTGGCCAGACACCATCAGCAACAACGAACTGTGGGAGAGAACAAACCAGATTCCAGTGGATGAGGAAATCAGGAAGAAGTGCTGGAAGTGGATAGGACACACATAACGAAAAGCACCTAACTGCGTCACAAGACAAGCCCTTATATAGAACCCTCAAGGCAAAAGGAAAAGAGGAAGGCCAAGGAACACAATACGCCGAGAAATAGAGAAAGATATGAGAAGAATGAACCGACATTGGACAGAATTGGAGAGGGAAGCTCAGGACAGAGTTGGGCGGCCTATGCTCCATTAGGGGTAATAGGCGTAAGTAAGTAATCAAGTAAGTATGTATTGTTTGTACATTTTGAGGACCGTTTATGTCGCTGACTGGTTTACAGCTCGTAAGATTTTGTTCGGTTAGAAATCCAAGTGAGCGTTCACATGAAGTTGAGATTGTTCTTTAAAGCTGATACATTCAGTCACTTTAAGTTGCAACTTTTGTTGTTTGTAGAATGTTTAAGCTAAGTTTGCTAATAAAATTGAAGCATATGACAGCGTGATTGCATTCGATAAACGGAGCCAGGAATTAGAGGTTACCGGTCACGGACTCTACATTCATGGAGATGCAGTCCAAGCGTGATTGTGTCTGATTGTTTCTCCACCGAGTTGGTGACTTCTTATTTCGAAATAACCCACTTGTTCAGTGACGCTAAGGAACCATTCTTCTGTAGACTTATTAGCTCCATTGTATGTGTAGTGAGCAAAGCTGACTTTAGAGAGATTGAAGTCACCCAAAATCAGGAGACGAATAGAGCGAAATGATCCCTTCAGTCCTCCAGTTATCGTGCCTTTGTCGGTTGTAGATTTTCTACACATGACTCTAACAATAAATTTTGAGGTTGTAGTGGTCAACTTTTATGAGGAGAATGCGATTGGTGTAGAGGAAAAATCTTCTATTATAACCAATTAAGCTATTGGTTGTTTTACTGTACCTTTTTGTTTGTACCAGAAACTCACATTTTTCCGTTTCCTGTGACCTTGAGCTTACTGGCGTAAGCACGGTAATCTCACCTCTAAACTTTGGCGCGATCTCGGCATCATTTCGATACCATGAGATCACCAACAGATATACATTTAGTTTCCGATCGTGTTTTCTTCCCTTTCTCAATCCTACGAAAGCACTTAACTTGGTAATTGGCAATAAATCTGTCTGTGGTGGTGATCACAGCCAATCTGGACTCGACACGGCCTAAGCCGTTGGATAATCTCTCAGAGCACTGTTCAAATTCATCGAAATCAACTAACTGTTGAACTTGCATTTAATGTACTGCCAAATAAGATCTCAGTTACAGTGCCACCCACCTTTCAGTTCAGTGTTTCAGTCGCAACGGAATGAAGACATACCTGGTTTTGCAGGTTTGGGTCTGTGATTTCTGAAAATACCCCTGTTTCCTATCGGATGAGTACTGTTGGAGCTGACAATTTCAAGCGGCTCGTCCATTTTGTTCGGTTAGCTCGCAACGTTCATACATAAACAGTTGATACTTTTTGTACAAAAACAGGAAAGTCTTCATCCTGTTTGTCTAAATGAACCCTGTGTAAATGAAGAGGAAACCTATCTATACAGGGCTTTCTAAGTCAGTGGTCCCAATCACTTACACGATTTTTACTAGTGCTTGACTTTCCACAGGTGAAAATTCCTTTTTTGACAGGATGGTTTGGGGAACCCCAACTGGAAAAACCACTCGTCCAAGTGAGCCCGGTTAGAGATCATTTCGGTGTAGTGGTGAACCATTTCTTGTAGTCAGAGCGTTCGTGATTACCTTGTCTCCATACCGAGTAAGTTTATCGTTTTCCACAGTTAATCCAAGTACATTGTTAGTGCTGGGAACGTCTATAGTCCCGTTTCTCTGTCCATTTTCCATCTACGCAATCGTATGAATGAATGAAGGATTTCTTAAAAGCGCAATTTTGAGATCAGGAGGCTGGATTTCATAAGGATTGGTCGTGTACCGACTAAAGTGCAACATTACGGATCATTTTGGAACAGTCAACTGAATGGAACTCACCACTCCACATCACTTTCATTGACTACGAGAAAACACTCGATAGTGTGAACAGGACAACACTATGGAGGATTCTTTGACACTACGGCATGCCTGAGAGGATAGTCAACATCATACGGAGTCCTTATGATGGATTAAAACCCAAAGTCCTTCACAAAGGACAGCTGACAGATTCGTTCGAGATGAAGACCGATGTCATGTTGGGTTGCTTACTTTCTCTCTTTCTCCTGGTGATCAGTGGATTATGAAGACGTCAACATCTGGAGGGAAGCAGGGTATACGCTGGACAGCCAGGATGCATCTGGACGATCTGGACTTCGCAGATGATCTATGGGAGAGAACAGACCAGATTCCAGAGGAAATCAGAAAGAAGCGATGGAAGTGGATAGGGAAAGCAACCAACTACATCACAAGACAAGCCCACACTTGGAACCCTCAAGTTCAAAGGGAAAGAGGAAGGCCAAGAAACACAATGCGCCGAGAAATAGAGAACGACATGGAAGGTTTGTAACAAAAATTGGAAATAACTGAAAAGGGTAGGCGAGGAAAGAATCGGTTGGAGAATACTGGTTGGCGGCCTAAGCCGCATTAGAAGTAATAGGAGTGAGTAAGGAATCGTACAATATAAACCCGAAGAATTTTGTTTCGGGTTATTCATCCATACTTGCCGTTTTCCGATTAAGATGCATCTTGACCTGAAAGTCTTCTGACGGTTCTCTAGGTTTGTCGCTTATCACTAGCAGGCTAGCTTAGAGACTAGTGCTTGTTTCAATTGTATTGAATATTGGACATAACATCAAACAGTACATCATAGGTACGTAGCATCGACGCTCTGTGTATAGATACGCAGAGCGTCTCAGCGTGGTCGTCTTGTAAGCATACCTCTTTAATTGTTTACGGACTTAAGAAATCAAATCAGCATGATGACTTAAAACTTGTTCATTTTATGTGGTGCTTTGATATCGAAAAATCAGGCAGCTGAAGGATAAAGCATCTTATAGGTTTAAAACAATTAGTCCCTTTTATAAATTTTGATAGAACAGTGAGAAGACGTAATTGATCTGTCAATTGATCAATTACGTTTTCTCACTGTTCTATCAAAATCTTATAGGTTGCTAACAGTTTTAGGTCTGATATTAATTGCCACTAGTAGGTCACAATATTCACACCGTAGTCAACAACTGAGATTTTTCTAACTTTTATTAGGCCCTACGGGCCTAGTATCATAAACTTTGATTATACTGAGTTCGCTTACTACAAATATGGCTCTTCATAGTAAGTAAGGAGTTCCAGATTTCATAGATTCAGCCCAGTTTCTTGAAAGTTCAATAGTTTTATGGTTTAGTTGCATTTTTAAATCGGAACTTTAATAAAGATTTCAGATAAACATGTGTAGTACTTACTGTTCATATTTTTTGAGATGGAGGCAATGACGGTTTCCAAATGTATCAACAAGTATTGTAAATCTTTAGTTTCGTGCACCTACGTTTTCTATGATGAATAGTGTAATTGTTAAGATTTCAATGTCTTTCGAGACATCAATTTCAGATGTGAGACACGAGTGTCTTTGTAATTACCTGGGAAACTGTTGAAATATAAAAATGTGTACCAATCAATAGATACAGGTCTCGTTGAAGAGTGGGATAATTAGACTGGAAACACTCGTCGAGCTAGGATGGATATTAAAGCAAGGCCAGTAAAAATCGGAAAACTGTGGACTTGTGTTCCCTTAAATCTTTAGTAGGTGGGGACCGCAAAACAAAGAACATGGATACTAACAGTTGTCTTCTTAGGACCCCAGCACTAAGTCTGCCAGGAAAAACTAGTAACCGAAATCTTTGGTGTAAACATGCAATCAGTATATTACACCCATCTTATTTATGGATATAGTTAAAGGCTTTCAAATAAACTGCAAAGAAGTGATGGTACTCTTCAGAAACAGTCTTATTCACTTCATTTGGGTTAAGGTCGGTGAAAGACATTCTATTCCTGCTCCTTGCCAATAATAACGATCCTAAATGTAAGAGCTTCAGAGTCATGATCTCGCTAAATCCCATTTTTATACGGAACTATAACAGAAAAATAAATTTGTCGTGGGATATTCACCTAGCAGTTGGACAGTGGTAATACGGAAGAGGTTATGAAAATGTAGGTTTACTAAAAATTAAACTACAGAAGAATTAGCATGACATTACGTGTTAACAAAACAAGGGAGGCTGTTCATAGAGCAGATTAAGCAATCGTTTCATTTATATTACTATGTGGATAATACAATTTTAAGACTAATTTGGCGTATAGAACTGGGTTTCTAATGAAGGAGAATTAATTTCTAGATAATACAGTCTTTGGAGACTAGATGCTATTAATACAGCAAGGGAGATGGAAAAGGCAGCGGCGATAGGCAACAGTAGACTTTTCCGCCTTATAAAGGAAACCGGTATTAGAAACCTATCTGCTAGCGAAACTATCTCAGAAAAGGATGGTTGTATCATACATTCCAGATCCAGGAGACTGGACCGATAGGCAGAACACTTTAGGGATCAGTTCAACTAGCCCCCAGCCTTTCTTCGGTTGCCCACGATCCCCAGTCATCCTGAATGTCAAATCGACGTAAGCCCTCCGAACCGTTATAAAGTTGAAAAGACTTACCCCTGAGATTTTTAAGGATGATGGTCCAGCTTTAGCAGCTAGATTGACTGGAATTCTGGGTAGAATCTGGGGACTGGGCTTAATAACATCCGACTGGTCTCAATCACTGATTGTCCCATTCTACAAGAAAGGACTAAAGTCCTCTTGTGACAATCACAGGGGAATCAGTCTAACTAATATAGTTTCTGAATCGTTAGCCTCGATCATACTTAGACGCCTAACTATAGGTCGTGAAGAGCAGACTAGAGAAAACCAGCCTGGTTTCCGATCTGGACGTGGCTGTATGGACCACATTTTCACTCTACGATAGGTCCTGGTACGCAGACACACCTTTAAGCGTCCTACAATAGTTGTATTCCTGGACCTTAAGGCGGCATTTGACTCGGTTGATCGTGAGGTTCTGTGGCAGTGTCTGTCGTTGAAAGGTGTACCAAAGAAGTACATTAACCTTATACAAACTCTCTACTCGAACACCACTGGTCGAGTGAGAGCTTATGGCGAACTGTCATCGGAATTCTTAACTTCAAGTGATGTCCGTCAGGGCTGTTCACTCTCCATTCTTGTTTAACTTTGTCGTAGACATGTTTTTAGATTTTTCAGGTGTGGACCTTCTACCAGGAGGATCGTTTGCTGACTTAAAATATGCCGATGACATAGTACTGTTTGCTGAAGCCTCTGAAAAAATGCAATCTTCTAACTACCCTATACAACATTACAAGCATGTTCGGGATGCGGTTTCCCCCCTCGAAATGCAAAATGTTGCTTCAAGATTGGGTTGCGTCGGCACCTGAACTAGTGATAGGGAATGCAGTAGTCGAGCATATCGACCGCTTCAATTATCTTATGAGTCTCATCAGTGCTGATGGCCTGGTGACTGACGAAATCTCAGCACGGATACAGAAAGCTCGATTGGCATTTGCCGACTTGCGTCATTTATGGCGTAGGCGAGACATCTGTTTGTTGACTTAAGGACGAGTGTACTGTGCAGCAGTTCGCTCTGTTCTCCTACATGGATGCGAAACATGGCCAGTAAGAGTAGATATTCGTAGTTTACTAGTATTCGATCACAGATATCTTAGAAGGATTGGTCGTGCATCGTGGGACGCCCGAGTAAGCAATGCTGCCATTAGGAAGCGAGTACTAGGTAAGGATGTCAGATCAATTGATGAAGTATTGAAACCTCATCAGTTGAGGTGGTTGGGACATGTGTTGCGTATGCCCAACCACCGACTGCCTCGACTGAGTCAAGTTGGCAGATGTAGAATAACTGGTTGAGGTCTGCGAGACGAAAGTCACCAATGGATAGAGACCTTGAACGACATGGTTCATGATCGTTTGCAATGGCGCAGGTGCATCCACTCTCTGTGTTCTCCCAGATCCTAATCTTCTGGATTCGTCAACACATCTACCTTTGTCTTTCTAAACCTATCTCACTGAATTATAGTTCTTGAATATTATCTTCAAATCCTAATCTCCATTAGCAGTAATTCTTCTACTATCTCTAGCACCATGGGATTAGAATTGACAATTGCATCTCTGTGCTAATGTGGTATGGCAACCTGAACTGATGTACCTACGTTCGAAGTTCTACGTTGTAGCTTACAGTTAAAAATCCGAACACACATTTGCTTGTTAAAATATTTACATGTATAGGTTAACTTGACAACTAGAAGATATAACATATGTGGTGTGATTTACGTCGTTGTCCTTATTATCCTTGGTTTTATCCCGGTCGACCTTTGATTCCTCTTGTACAAATGTCTGGACAAATGGATATGTGATCACATTGAATTGTATTACGCAGATGTACGACATAGTTCTGACAAACTTTGTCTTATTATATTGTCTAAATTTATCAGATAGATTAATTGTTTTAAATTTTAGTGATTAATTATTTTCAAAACATCCCATTGTTACTAGTTCGTAAAATATGAACACTTCCTTTTCAGATTTTAATACTCTTGGAAAAATAACGTAGATGCGTTCAGTACCTTTACGGTCCTTCAGTGACTTCTTAGGTCCCGGTGCTCGATACAGTATACCCAACCAGTGTAAGTGGAATGAACGAATGATTTCAAATCTAATTTACTATCAGTCGAATTACTTTTTGTTAAGCTTCGTTATAATAATCTTGTTGAGGTAATTAATGGTATTTTAACAAAGTATTCTCTTTAATAGTGCGCTTAATCCCGTTCCTGTTCTAATAGGACTCCTCGTGACATGTTTACCTCTAGTGATTCTCCTATTTTTGGATACAAAAACACTCCATAATATTAATCAACCGAAGATACTTATTCCTGTGTGTGTTGTCATTGCCATGTTACTGATTCATTTTATATCTGGAATTGTCCTTTTCTTCTGTGTTCTACTTGTTCCAGTACTAAGTAAGTTTCAACAACTGTAATAATTATAATCAGCAATATGCCTTCATGCTCTCTGTAGACAACGTAATTTGAAGAACAAAGTTTGTAAACTCGTGGAATCAGTTCGATTTGGAGAACAAAAAACACTTATGGGGTGTATGTTGGAAGTATTTGGCATAGATGTACGACTACTTACTATTGATAATTAGTTGGAGATCATCTTGCTTGAAAAAGTGCAACTTTTCATCATCCGTATATCCTGATTTCAATTACTCTTGCTTTCTTCATAAATGAGATACTTTCATTGTTCCTCTAGATTTATTTATTGCAGACATATTTCATCAAATAAGTTCTGATTCGCCTCAGAAATATATATGCCACTATTTTATGATCGTGTAGCATAATAAACAGATTACAACTAGGCAGGTTGTCTTTACTGTCTCCACTAAGTTGCATGTTTCTAGGTCATCAGGAACAGAAACCGAGAAAATTGTAGTGTAACCGAGTAACTTAGTTTTATTCACTTGTAATAAGAATGTATAAGTTAGGGGTTAGGCTTTAACCATTATTATAAATACCTAGATCCCAACCGTAGCTGCTACCTTGACGTGGTGGTCGGGCTTGCATATCGTGATGACCAAACCGAGCTATATTGGCTGGAACTTATGTTCCTGAAGGTTCTACCATTCCACACAGGTCGATTGGAGAATGATGAGACTAAAAGGAGCGCAGCAGTTCGCTCCGTTCTCCTATATGGATGCGAAACATGGCTGTTAAGAGTAGATGTTCGATCATAGATGTTTAAGAAGCACTGCTCGTATACCGTGGGACAACCAAGCAAGCAATGCTGCCATTAGGAAACGAGTTCTATGTAGGGACGGCAAATCAATAGATGAGGTAGTGAAACTTCGTCAGTTGAGGTGGTTGGGACATGTGTTGCGTATGCCTAACCACCGACTGCCTCGACGAGCTAGGAGTAGGTTGGAAGAAAGCTAGGAGCGGCCAGACCAAAACATGGCAGAAATCCGTGAAGTCGCTGACAAGTGGACTGAGTCATGTTGGCAGACGTAGACTACCTGGTTGGGATCCGCGAGACGAAAGTCACCAATGGTTAGAGACCTTGAACGACTTGGCTCAGAATCGTTTGCAATGGCGCAAGTGCATCTATTCGTTGTGCTCTCTCACATCCTAATCTTCTGCATTCGTCAACACATCTACCTTTGTCTTTCTAAACCTATCTCACTGAATTATAGTTCTTGAACAATATCTTCAAACCCTAGTCTTCTTCATTACCATTAATACCTCTACTATCTCTAGCACTATGGGATTTGAATTGACAATTGCATCTCTGTGCTAATGTGGTATGGCAACATGAACTTATGTACATACGTACGAAGTTCTACGTTGCAACTGACTGACTGACTCAAGGTCTGAGGGCGAAGTCTTACTGCAGACTGCAAAGGGGTGTGACAGCAATAAGGTGTTTCCATCGGACAACGAGCATCTGTAGCGATGCTGCCTTACGAGGAAGGAAGGGGTTAGAATAGACCGAATCTAAAAATGTCACACCTCATCCTACCTCACGGATTTCCGTCTCCGTCGGTAAGGGTGCCTACTAAGGGCACCTAAGGGAAAGTAAGGACTCGGAAGGATGGGGACACTCTTCGTCGTACCTGCCTATGCCCCCATTGACTGCGGTTCAGACGAGGTTAAAGATGTGTTTTAAAGAAAGCTTTCGGACCTCCTCCAAAAAGTTATGCGCTCTGATTTAGTTATACTGGCTGACGAGTCCAATGGTCAAGTAGGCAGACTAAGTGAAAGACACCTAGGTGGATGTTATGGTGTCGCGGCTCAGAGAACAGACAATGGCGACCGTCTGTTACAACTGTGCTCAAATAACCGCCTATTTTTAGCAAACACTAACTTTAAGCATAAGGAAAAACATCTGTTGACCTGGCGACCTCCAAAGTCGTCTCAACGTTGGACCCAACTAGATCGTTTCGCCATCAGCCACCGATGGAGAGGTTCGATAGAGGACTGTCTCTCGTTCTGGGGCACATGTTTAGATCCAGATCATGCCCTAGTGCGAGCTCGTATTGGTTTGAGGCTTACTAGACGTAGGAAAGACACCGTAAGAAAGCCTCTTAGGGTTTTACTTAATGATAATGAGGCTAAGAATATATTCCAGGAACAACTAGAGAAACAGGCGACCATGCAAGCGATTCCCATCCGGAGGCAGATTGGAATGATATCCATAAAGCTGTGGAAACAGCAGTGATATCAGCTGGTAAGGTAAACCATAAGGCTAGAATGAAGCCGTGGATCTCAATAGCATCTACCGAACTGATGGATGCTCGAAAACTCGTCCCACCTGACTCTGAACATGATGAAGAACGAAGTCAGCTTACGCGTTGGCTGATAAAAAGCCTACGGAATGATCGAGAACAGTAGTGGGTGGAGAAAGCGAGAGAGATGGGAAAGGCAGCGGCGATAGGCAACTATTTACACTCATCAAGGAAACTGGTATTAGGAACCCAAATGTGAGTGAGACTATTTCGGAAAAGGATGGTCTTATTATCCATTCTCAATCCAGGAGACTGGATAGATGGGCAGAACCTTTTAGGGATCAGTTCAACTAGCCTCCAGCCTTTCTTCGGTTGCCCACGATCCCCAGTCATCCTGAATGGCAAATCGACGTAAGCCCTCCGAACCGTTATAAAGTTGAAAAGACTTACCCCTGAGATTTTTAAGGATGATGGTCCAGCTTTAGCAGCTAGATTGACTGGAATTCTGGGTAGAATCTGGGGACTGGGCTTAATAACATCCGACTGGTCTCAATCACTGATTGTCCCATTCTACAAGAAAGGACTAAAGTCCTCTTGTGACAATCACAGGGGAATCAGTCTAACTAATATAGTTTCTAAATCGTTAGCCTCGATGTAAATGCTATAAATAAACTAACGTTGTATCTATTTTTGACTTCGCCATCACCCTTGGCTTCTTATTTCATTTAACCTTGGTATTTGGAATATAATCTTTTCCTGTTCAACCGTGTTTTGATTCTCGGGAACTTGTCCAGTGGTCAGAGAATACTAAGCAATAGGATTTAGCTGGGAATTAATTATCTAAGCAACCGCTACAAGTGGCGACGAGGAAAAAAAATTCAAGATGCCTATTTCAAATGATCAGCTTAACCGAATACTACAACAACAGCAAGCACAATTAGATGCTCAAATGCGGTTGTTGGGGACTCTAACTCAACAGCTGGACATCCAGTGTTCGAGTTCACGTGCTATTTTAAATACGTCTTGTGAAGCAGTTGCAAACAGCATCTGATTGACTGATAAATACGTAAATATAAACCCATCAGCAGTATAATAGTCAGATTTGTTATATTTCTTTGTCTGGGACCCTTACTACATGTTTAGTTTATGGCAACGCGGTTGCAAATCATTGGTGGTAACTATCAGATAATAATGCTGAGGACGTTTTGGTATTTTAAGATAATTTAGTTTCAAGAGAAAAAGACCACCACTCATTGATACTTTATCTCTTTAATCCATTCCAGTTACATTAAGACAAAAAAATAAGCATTAAAAGTGGTCGGCAATCAAACCCTGGTTAGGAATGCTGCATATATAATATTACTGTCTTATTTCTTCCTCAACGCTAGTCTTCATCTGGGTGCTCAGCATCAGTCAGCAATAAGATCGAAAAGAATGGTGAGGTGGTCCTCGTAGTTTATCTATGACAAACTCGGATAATAATAAGGCTAATGAACATAGGGAGGAATACTAACTTGAATAACAAATGCAGAAGCTAATTTACCGCAAGTATTAGTCGAACCATTAGTGCCATCAGTTACAGTCCTTTGTATATTTCACTCTCACAAAGGGTTGAAAATAATGGCCTACCGAGTCGCTTTCAGATCAAGAAACAGCTAGGGTCGAAAGTTCCAAAGTATGTTTATAACTTATAAACTGCTGAATGCTAGTAGATACGAACGACTTACCTTATATTTCTGAACTTCACTTAACTATTATGTTGCCACGTAATCTAGAATTTTAGCTTATCAGTGACTGATTGGCAAGTATGTTCGGTATTCGATTCTTCCACTCAAGATGCAAGATGTTGCTTCAGGGTTGGCTTGCATCAGCACCTAAACCGGTGATAGGGAGTGAGCGTGTCGACCGTTTCACTTATCTCAAGAGTCTCATTAGTCCTGATGTCTGAAGAAATCTCGGTACGGATACAGAAGGCTCGACTGGCTTCTACCAATATGGATCACTTATGGCGTAGGCAAGATATCCGTCTACTGTGCAGCAGTTCGCCACCGATTGCCTCGACAAGCGATGTTCTGAGGTGTAAAAGCTAGGGGCGGCCAGACCAGAACATGAAACAAGTCCATGAAGTCACTCGCGACTGTACTGAGCCTTGTTACTAGGTGTAGGCTACCTGGTTTGGGGTCCGCGAGGTTATAATAACCGATGGTTAGAGACTGAATGATACAACTCAAAATCGCTTACAATGGCGCAGATACGTCCATTACTTGTCTTCTCTCAAACTCTAAATTGATTTACTCATGACCATTATCTTTTCTTACATTTATTTCACTGGATTATATTTTCCTATTCATATCATATCTAACCCTAATTTTTCTAATACTACCTATAGTACTACGGGATTAGAATTGGCGATTCGATGTCTATGCTAACGTGGTATGGCAATTCGGACTTATGTACTTGCGCGCGAATTTTCCACGTTGAAGCTGACCAACTAACAGAAGCTATCTCAAACTCATTGAGTTACATACACAAAATATCAGATCGTAAAGCTCACGCTGAATAACGCCATGAGTGGTACAGAATGGAGCAAACAGTAAATTATAAGTTACAAGTAATGAAGGAATAGTAAAACGCATAATAATGTGTAACAGATCATCAAGGAGCTTACAAGGCGAATATAGAACTATAATGTTTTCTTCAGTAGGAGTATGAATAATAATACAGAGGAAAGTTGCAAATTTTCCGATACTCGTCTGGTCGTAACAAAGATTTTTAGGCTGGGTGAGTGCTTTATCTAACCAGAAATTAGGGTTGTTGTCTCAGTGTCCCACTTAACCTTTCAGTAAACCAAGCCCTGAGAAATCACTTTAGTCTTTCAGAGGTAGCCTTACGTTTTGATAATCAGGAATAAATTCGCATGGTTCATCTGAATTCCGCCTTTCAAGCATGTGCGGGTACGCACTGACTGCCGAGTACCACTCCAAGTGTTCCCTGCTAGCCATTACTTCTTAATACATGGTATTTTTATGAGTTGTAACAAACTGGAGATCACATCAAGTTGCCTTGCGATGAAGCTATCCTTCATGATAGTATTTCGCTAAGGAGAGATGATTCTTTAATTTCGAATTGGACTTGAAGAAACATTCCAGATGTGCTTTCGCATTCGTAAGCGCACATACATGTACGCCCTCACATCAGTGCATTGTCAAATTTTAGGGAAACGCTTCGAAAGATACCCTAGTCCATTCCTAACTGGATGGAAGTATTTGGTTATTAGGTTGTTGATCACTAAGTTGGTGAAAGTAGTGGTTAAGTGACTTGGCTTGGTGTATGCTAATTGTTTGTTTGTCCACAGGTGATTTTGGGAGCTTGGGGGGAAACCTACCATTTATCTGTTCCAAACTCAATGCGATAAGTATAGACGGATCCTAAACACTGAGTGATACCGACCACGTCAGGCTGAAAAAGCAGTCCATTTGGATATGTATAAGCAGCAGTTACGATACAGTTCAAAGGTGGACGTTTTGTTTTTAAGCTTGGTTCTATATCTAATCTCGTTGGAGTTGAATATTCAGATAGTCAAAGAGTTAAGTATATTAAATCAAGATATGAAGGCGACATCAAGTGAACTAACATAGCCTATTTCTGTTTGTGCGTCTTAAGAACGCAACACAATTTCCAAGTTCAACTCCGATTAGTGAGAACTGTTATAATATGTCATTTGATGCAGACAGTTCGAAAAAATAATGGTTGTTGTACATTTGGACGACGAAGCTAGTAAGTATGGACAAATCCTACTACCGTTGGTCATTTGGGTGGTATCATTAGCCCTCAAATTTATTGCTAGTAGTTCAGCGAACGTGGTCGTAATTTCATGATTCATCAGATGTTTCCTCATACTAGTTTGATTACCAGCTGGAAATAGATGCAATAACTTGGACTTGAGTACTTATTCCCCTGCTATTGTGATTATTTCTTCTAAATCTTTTATTTCGTGTTGAACCAAGTAAGCGTAATCTGTCAGCAATTCAGTCTTCAAAAATGATTCAAACTCACTAATATTTACAGGCCTGCCAAAGTCTGTGATTCGGTTATGTTTTCCGCTTGTCACAAAAAGTAAAGCGACCTGAAAGTGATTCCTACAGGGATGAAGTTGTTTGCATTTCATACATTTATTCGAGACCTCAAGTTAACTGAGACGATTTATGAACTGAAGCAATCGAAAAATATTTATTTCCAATAATCCAACTAAAGAACAACAGTAATTTATTTACAGAGGTAGGGATGAAAACAAAACTGTAAGAGAATCATACAAAAGTTGGGTCGAAAGTGGTCAGATAACTACCTACATCGGATGTATGAGTGTCTTGCTCATCGTGTGTTGGGGGGTCTTTTTGTTGCGTATTAGGTGGGACGTCAGTTTTTACAGCCCCGTAAATAATGTCTGAAGATACACCAGTGACTTGTGCAACTGAATGTGACTCCGTAATTCGAAGGCGCTTGACAGGAGGTTCCTCTTGTTCGTGATTTGAAACTTTAGTTGGGGTGGGATATATTTTTAAAGTGTCTTCGACATCACATTTTTCGTCAGGTAAAACAAGCCTGGTTTGTTGTGTAGGTCGGTCGTCTGAGTAACGATTTTTACACAGCGCTAAATCTTCATGATTAGTATGTTGACTGATATTTACACCACTGAGTTGATGGTAATTACTTAGAGCGATTAGACTTACAACGCTGTCTGGATACTTCGTTAGGTTTGCGAAGAATCTGCGTACAGTGGTTTGGAACGTTTGATTATAAGTAGACATAGCACATGCAAAAGAAGCTCTTGCTAAGGCGACTAACAAGGGTGGGTTTACTAAATCCATAGAACTTATCTTTTCTTGTCGCGCGGTATGAGACACTCCATAGCTAAGAATAAGATTTACATGCGAGAGTAGGCTAGTTAATGTAACGAAGAGATTATTCACTTCGTTTTGAACAGGTGTACGATTAGGATTTTCCTTATTGGTTATACAATTTGAGTCGATAGTACATTTAGCTTTGAAGAGTTCCATGTAGCGCAATACCCCTGGGTCCTTAAAAATATATTCTATCAAAAACAGGATCGCAAACAGCATACGTTTTTCAAACAGTTTAATTGTAGAAACTTGAGGTTTGTGGAGGTCATTAGTGAGAATAGTATTAGTGGGTGTGGTCGAATACGCAGACTGACAGGTAGAAAGAAACCCTTGTAAATCATGCACCAACTGTGGGAAAATTCTAGGTATAATCTCCACAAAGTATGCGTAAGAAAGTTTCAAGTTACCAGTGACAAGATGCAGTAAACAAGAAAGAGTTGCCAAACGCAGACGCACGAGATATTCCATATTTTTATCTTCAAGTCGCCAATTTGCCGTCCATTCTAGATGGTATGTCAAAAGAGTTAACAAACAAGGAACAGTGGGCATAATTAGAGTGCCTGCACTTTGACAAATTTTATCTAAGCATAACATGAGACGGCTAGAGCTCCTTAGTAGACTACTTGATATGTTCTCTACGTTCGTCAATCTTACTTCGAAAAAGCCAGTAAATATGGAAACAAACATAGGTAAACAAAGACCGATGTGAACTGGAGAATCGCGTGTGAATATATAACGCAAGCAATAAGTGAAAAAATCAACACGCATAATCAGCAACTTAGAGAAATCATCAGGTATTCTTTTAATCTTGTCAATTGGAATAATGCATGAAAAATGGTCTACCTTCGAATTTAGGTAAGTCTGGACAGCCGATAAGGTTACGTGAGGTAAACCATAAATCCCAAGGATACAGCACAATGAATCACAAAGACATTTGGAAAGACGTAACTGGAACTCCTGGAGTCGTTGAGGGGAACATTTTAAAAATGGGATTAAAGAGAAACATGCGGCTGCCAGCTGAAGCATTTCATCGTCTTCCAGACACTTGCAGAAAAATTCAAAATGCATTGAGCTTTTGTTTGAGCAGTTACATTCCACAGGGTTAATTAATTTGGTAAATAATACTTCCAACCGACTTGTGTGGTGGCTAAGGTGCACTGGATAAGCTTGAGCATAGTTATACACCTCTTTTAGGTCATCTTTATTAAGTTCAGACTTTTGGATTAAACATAATAAGTGTGGTGACAACTGTCGTGACTCTGCAGCTGACCTAGGGCCCATGATGTACAGTAACGCAACTTTTGAATAAGTGCTTTGGTAACCGAAACCAATTGGACGAAAAAAAGCTGGACTTTTGTCCCATAAATTATGAGCTTGGTGTATAGCCGATGAACTCAGCATATGACATAGTATCTTGCACCACTAATGATCCACAAATTAGGCTCATTTATCATTCTAAAGGTACTCCAGACAGTTCAAATTAGTTTGTCAGTCTGGCCATGTGAAATTCTGAGAAATTTTGATTAACAACTAATATATCTTCTGTTCGGTAGAAAATTTGTGTTACATTTAAATCAGACATAATTATACAGTAAAATTTCGCACTGCGTAATTACTTCTACGTTCTTGTCTAAAGAAGATCTTAACATGTCCGGGTTGTACATGTTGATTCAAATGACCTTAAGAAACTGACTAGCAAAGCGTAATCACGGTAAGCAAAGATTATTTTCTGTTTTGGTGCTTGACGTCTATCGCGCGACTCTAGGAAAGAATGCATTTCAGACCTGCTGTTGGTAGAGAAGTCTATAGTTTGCTGAAGAATCTTGCGTATCTTGAAAAGCCTACCCTACTTACTAATATTAAAAGCAATATATTTGTAGAATCCCAATGAGTAGAAAGGTTTCAAATTTTCGGTGGTTTCGTAACTCTGTGTAGGCCACTTCTTCAAAGAGTAGATAAACGATCCAGCCATTACTCAACTTGGTTGAAATCACTTAGTCAAACCTTGGTAATGACACCAATAAACTATTCTGCTTCTGTTAGGAAACTTAAGGAGATTACTAACTAATCATTTTCAAGTAACCTCATGGAAACATAGTTGAATGAAAATGTTGGCTTCCAGGTTCAGAAAATCAGGTTTGATACCAGGGCGTTACACACAATATTCTATGTACGATTTCAGTGAACAGCTACAAATGCAACTGCCCAGTCACCTGAATGTTGGGACCAGTGATCCAAAACTATGGGAGCAGCTTATGTTAATTCTTTTCCTAGTTTTTCAAATAGCTAATGGCTCAACCATTAAAGCAGGGCTTTAGCACTGAAGAAACTGAAGAGATACCATACGCGCCACAGATGTCGTTATTCATCAATCCATTTGTCACTTCATACTGTCTAGACTATATAATAGATGCGAAGGGTTCTAAATAAGATATTAGTGTCTTAGTCCCATTGGAGCAGTTACAGTAATCTACAAGCGTCTCAACCCTCTCATCATGAATTGCTACACTGTAGTATTATTCCGCAGTTACCTCTAACTTTACTTAACTGTTGTCTCTTTTTTGAAATAGTTTCTGGTAAATAGTATATTTATTCGCCAAAAACACGAGTATATGCTCGTAAAAATTTGACAATTCCTAAGTGGTGAACTTATTCTCAGACCCTTTTCCGTAACTGAAACTTTTATCCCCACTTCTGAGGCATCCGAACATCCTAGGCCTCACTAACTGGAGGTAGAAATCTTGATAAGACGTAGAGAACGTATTACACAGGCATCCAGAAAGCACAAGGTCAACAAGCACACAAATGAGGCTTATTTATACAATGATAAGACGCCCTCGGTGAGAGCTACAAAACGGCGTACTAAAACAATCCATCAACCAGTGACAGCCAAGGATTTCACGAGTGCGAAATGCAAGCTGAAGGTCAAAATGAGCGTCTTTGGCGCGAACACAGAAGATTCGACATTTTCAAAATAAAATTATAAAGCCAAGACCTTTACCAAGTATCTAACGTCCCTAACAGGTTGAATACTTTTTGTGGGACTAGTTGAATTTGACTATTGTCACCGATACAGACCAACCCAACTATCTTCCCGTCACTGAATATAGTATCTCCGTGAATCAAGGAGAGAGAAGAAAAGTCAATTTTTAAACAGAGTTTTCAGCCTGAACTCAGTTTTCAAGTTCGGACCTCAATAGCATACAACTTGGTAAATATCCATTTTAAAACCCTTAGGGTTCTGAACCCCTTAACTGCAACCGCACTGTAGAGGATTGCATTGTGACAGGACTAAGGCCATCATCTCTTTCCCACTGCTTTACCTACTTGATTTTGTTTACTTAGTGGCACCATCCATATTGTAAACCAGCTAACAAGAACGTCTAGTCAGCGTGAAGTACACCGGCGTCTTCATCCCAAGTCATATTTTGCCAAACGTCTACCCCATCGGTGACTTAACGATACTCGAGAGTTCATTCACAGATTGTATAAGAAGTAGAAGACTTAGAACAAGGCACTGAGACACTTCAATAGGTCCTCATTTGCAGGAGAAGCATTTAGAATCTTTTCTTACTTCTTGTCTTTCAGCTGTCAAAAAGTCTTCAACCTACTTCAGTAGATGTCCGGCAATCCCCCGATATTCCTGCCTGAAGAGGAGTCTACTGTTCACACCTTATCAAATGCTTTACAAAAGTTCATGTAGAAAATATCTGCGGTTTTCCTACTATCCAACAACTCTGCTATCTTTTTGCTGTAAGCAGGTTTGTAGCTTGTCAAAACCCTTTACTAAAGCTATTTCGTTCACTGTCAAAAGTTATTTGTGAGCGTTTTCGTTACCTAAACTTCTTTCATTCCTCTAGCAACAGAGTGTTATGCTCTCAGTCAAAGAAATATTTTCACGTGCTCAATCTAATGCTGCTGTTAATTACTAATTTTTAATTTGGGTTGAAAACGAATGGCGGTGGAAAACATTTTTCAGAAATGAACTTTCGTTAGAATACATTAAGGTATGTTTCTAATAGCCAAAAAATTATATCACTTTGTAAATTCTTTGTTGATCTGAATAAACTTCAACTTTTAGTTCTACGAATTCTCTTTTTCGTGCTATCATCATGTTAAAAGTTTAATAACAATAATTGGAATAAATTATGCAATCGGTGTTCAGCTCAGGCTTCATTTCAACAAACTGGGAGACAAATAGACTTGAGGAATGAATTTTTTTTATTCTACTTTCATGTCAGAATCATATTTTTATTCATCTTTTTAGCCGATTAGTGGTAAAAAAGAAATTATTACATGGAGATTTCTCTTCACAGATGGTATATTTTTATCATTGTGATCATGATTTTGATGTTCATCTGAAGCTATTGGTCTGTGTAATAATAGTGCGGTTTTCAATTTTTCAGTACAGAATATTTGCAAACAATCAAATAGACGTAATAAATTGTAACTATATTAAACTAAATCATTTCCATTTTACTAAAGTGCACTGAAGACAATTGTGTGTATTCAGAAAGAGAAAGATATCTTAATTAGACAGAACTAGTGAAGAAAATTCAAGATATTATAGACTGTTCAACCATCACTTAAAATAACATTGAAAAGCTGCATTGAATTCTTACAAACTGTTTATTTAAGATGAGCAAGTGTTTGTGAATAGTGAAAAAACTCAATAAACAACTTGTGTAAATTTGTATGAATCAAACTTTACTATTATTATCATTATTAATTAAATCATGATTGTCAACACCTTTATGGATACATATTATATCTGTACATATATAACTGGAAAGAAATATTTAACATGTATAAGTTAATCAAATAGAATATACATGAAATTGACTAACCTTAAATGTACTATTGATAAATACAAAACAAACAGCATATAAATAAACACTGTTGGAGTTCAAACTTTCATTTCAAGGGTAATTTGGTTGAGTTTTGCTTTGGAGCACTATTATATATATATATATATATATATATATATATATATATATATATATATATATATATCCTAATAAAGCAAGCAATCATAACAATTAAAACAACTTGAAGGAAAAGAAATTCTATAGACCTCCAAAATGGTACAAAGATTGTGATAAGAATAAAACTTGAATCGAAAAAACCTTTGAAATAATAACAATAGAAACTGTACTATTACCATGCTCGGTGTTAGGTAGTAGAAACTGAAAAAGATACCATAAAACCTATTTTCATGTTTACCAATATCAGCATATAAAAGAAACAGAATTCAAGAGCATCAGTTGAGTTTATACATACTCTTGAGTACTCCAACAAGCATATAAAATTACATACAAATACAAATAATAATAATAATCGTATGTATTGTGGGAAACAAGAATTATTGGGAGATAGTTATGTATTACAATATGAAAGTTGATGAAACAGAACTTTCAGAAAAGATAGTAATAAATTACAGTCAGTTCAGTACAAAGACTGCGAACTAGTCATTTAGGTATTAATTAATTTTTTTTTAAAACTAATTCAACAAATTAAGAATTAACAATTGAATTAATTAGTGGTTTGCTAAGTGAACAATGATGAGAATTATTTCTTTTATGTAAATATTCACGTCCAGAATTATTAGAAATAAAGCGTTTAGTAACACTTATTACAGACAAGTGAATGATTTATTCATTTTTAAATTTAAATAAGAAAGAAACAGCTAAAACTAATAACAACTAACAAAGAAAAACTCAGAGATGAAGAAGAAAACACTTTTTTGTTTTTCTTGTTTGTGTACTAAAATTTGATAAATCGTTTTGAAATTGATTAAACCAGAAACTAAAAAAAGATTCATAAATATGAACAGAACGGACAAAACAGAACATTATAAAACTGAAATATGTGTTAACAACTGTTACCCCCACTTTTGTTTATGCTTTCAGTCTACAATTTCTTTATTCGTACATTATTCGACTAGTTGAAAACACTGGCAGTTATTAAGATCATAATTTCTTTCCATTATAGAACAAGCTAGCAAGCAACTGAGAAGAATAAAAGTAAGAATAAATATTACTATGTACATGTCTAAAGACGAAATTCATTTTTACTTACTAATAGTAACAAAAATTGACATGATTATTGGTGATCACGATTCAACTCCAAAGTAGGATAATAATTATTTTTGTTGTTTTTATAAAGTGTAAAAGAAAAATGCATCTCATGAGTATAAACTAATAAATAACTAAGTGAATGAATAATCAGGAATAAATAGATAAGAAAAAAATGAATCAGTAAAATATAATGCAAATTGTAGTTGTTGTTGTTATCTACTTAACTAACATTAATATTGATGCATAATTGACTACATGTTATTGAATAAATACTGTGATAAGAAGTAAACAGAGTTTGTAAATACGTATATATATATATATATATATATATATATATATATATTTGAGAAAGGACAGTACAGTAGGTGTATAGCAAAAGTAGCACAACTATTCTCATAAAGGGCAAACTGAAGCATTAACAAAAGATGAGATGCTACTAGTTATTGTAAAGGCTATGTTTTCTTAAGAAAAACAAGTTAATTTTCTTATATGTGCTAAAAGAGAGACAAGAAATAAAATGACGACGACAACATAAACGTAGACAAATAAACAATGTTAGTTATTATCATTTTATACAATCGAAATTCTACAAAAAAATAAATGAAAAACCAATTAGCTTCAATTTTCTTAATGATGAAACGTTTTCAAGTTGTGTTTATGCAAAAAATTCTTCTTATTTGGCAAAGAAAGTGAAATAAAAGAAGAATCTATTCAAGCAATAAACTATCGAAAGAAAGTAGAAGAAATAATTTGGAAACAGTCAAAACTAGTGTCATAATCAAGCATTATTATACATATAAAAGGTCATTATAAAATAAAAATTTATTGGATGACAGAGAATCCAAATGTGAAACGAACTTCAGAAAGCCTCTGTAATTATAGAGACGCATAAATGACTTTTAAGTTTGTACTCATATATAAAAAAAACCTGAGATGAATTAGACTAAATCTAATCGTTTTTGCGTTTATTCTTAAATTGTCTTACAAGGTGAATTAAAACAAAAGAAAAAAGTTGGATGAGTTACCTGAAAGACATTTGTTCTTTAATTCATTTTTTTTTTGAAGGTGTAATCTATCTTAATACTCAGTGACTTATTATCCTATTGGTACACTTTTGTTACAAGTTTTATACTCATATTCAGTGATTCGTGATCTTATTTAAAACTCTTACACATCGTTATTATTACTATCAACAACACTACTATCATGTGTTACTAACACTCAAGTTTCTTGCCAAACTAACCACTGCCGAATGAAATATTTTAGTTTCTTTATGATTATCATTAAATATATTTTATGAATTAAATAGTTATCTTAAATTACTAATATACTGATCATTTTGTTTATCAATCATCTGATTTGCACTCGTTTTTTTTTCTGGAAAAAAAACCATTCCTGTAAAGTATCAACAAAAAAAGTACCAAATATATTCATTCAGTTAATGAGGGTGGGATTTTTGTATTTAGTAAAACAAAACAGCAATCAATCAGTTGGTTAACCAGACATATATATATAACAGAGATGCCTGTTACAACAAAATGCGATATATATATTTATATTTATAAGGAAATTAGAGATAAGAAATATTATAGGCGAATTTGTGTGTGTGTGTGCACACATGTGCATGTGTAAGCGTTGGGTATCTCTTATTAATAAACATGGGAAGCAGGATATATGATGAAAAAAAACAGTTTAGGAGAGTGGTCAGGTTGTACTATAAAGTTTTTAATAATATTACTATTATTATTACCATTAATAATAGTTTTTTTTCCCTGAACAATATAAATTGAATATTGAAAATTCATAAAACATAACAATAAAACAAATCCAGAAAAAAAAGAGAGAAAAGGGAGCTGAGAAGGTACTGAATCTGTTTTGGCAGTAGTATGAATAGAGTAATGGGAACATATATGTATTCAAAAGACAATATCAATTGATAATATAAGATATTAGTAATATTAATAATGATAATAATAATCAAGTATTGTAAAGAAAAGGAATTAAGTTGTTATTTTTTTTATAAATAATGCTACAATAATTTCTTAGGGTTACGTGATAACTTGTATAGTCGTCAAAACAAGTGATATCAGTGACAAATATTCTTTCCTTTTTTTTCTTGAAAAGAAATTATATTACTTACTTTGGATAAAGTAAGTTGACAGTTGTATACAAAAACACAAGCATGTATATATTCTATATTGAAAGAAATTAAAGTGTTCCAAATTACGAAAATCGTATCGTATTCAGAAATTGAAATGCTGTGTTTGATTGATCGATAAACTGACAATAATAATCAATTAGTCGATCATTCGATGATTGAACATTTGAAGGAACGTGAAAAAAATCTAATGAGTACATTAAGTACTCATATCTGAAATATCAATGTTGTCGAAATCGTTGAATCCTGTACAAATGAGCTCCTGTTAAATGAGAAAAAAAATTATAAAATAATTTATCTTTGAATGGAGCATTGGCTAAAATTACTTCAAAAACCAACAACAGTGACATTGAGTAAATATTCAAGTTCGATTAAGTAAACCTTTTCTTCTGAGGCAAACAATTCAGTCAAGAGAAATATTTTAACGTCGTGGTACATAACACAAAAATGATGACAATGAACGCGTCTCAACTATCGACAGTAATGACATCATTACTGAATACTTTAAGATAAACACGACAGGGAAGAATGTGTGAAAGAATGACCAATCATTTACAAGAACTGCGTTAGTCCACCTCTAATAAGTCAATGGAACATCACAAACAACTCATAATAACAACCATCTCGAAAAATCATCAACAGCAGCTCTTCCATCCATATATCTACTATTAGGAAGAATATTCACTGAAAAGCATATGTGTATGTCGACTGAAATATCTAAATGGTCTTCATATATTTCGATATATTCATCAACTGATTGTTAACGGACGTCATTCCATAGACTCTATGATAGGAATGAACATCAACAACTGATCTCGATGTCTGTGTTAAGACCCATATAGTTTCACTTTGATCAGTGGTGACAAACGAGAGTTTCTAAACAGTTCACTTTTCGTTTTGAAAACAAAGGAGTTGATTACAAACACTGAATAAGTTCCTCGTGTTGAAAGTTTACTTGCTTTGTAATTTCACTATTTTTTGTTATGAACTATCTATTCATTCATTTCTCCTGTTCTGTAATAGGTATATAATTAATTAATTGTAAGGGGATACTAACACTCATCCTTTTGGTACTGGTTCATCAACAAATGCACTCGAATTTCAACCCTGAACATATTTGTAAGACATTCAATAATATAGTTCTGAGTCACTAATTTGGGATGAAATGTGTAGTGTGTTTACAAATTTTTCGAACCCACAGGGTTTATCTCAGCCTTTGGACAGTTGAATAAATTTATTCTCATCGAGTTATTTACATGTCTTTCGAACTCGGGTATTATCCGCTCATACCCTTGGTTGTTTTTATTCGTGTGTGTGTGTGTGTGTGCATACTTACTTTGCTTATTACATGTTTAGGTTATTCTTAATTGACTATAAATACATAATAATGCTTCATCGCATGGAATTGGCACGCTCACCTTCTCCACTTCGCTTTACTATTACTGCCGTCGCACAAAAGGGCTCGCCTAAGTATGATATACGCATGTTGAAGGGGAGATATACTTCATTGCATATTTAATTGTTTGGAGTCAGATAGCGGGCCACTAAAGCGATGCGCCCTACTATGAATTTAATGCAGCCACTAAAAATGATTTCAATTTTCTTCTACAAATGTTTAGTGATATAACGCTATCTTCATAATTTATGAAGTATGGTCTCATCTTCCTCGTACGTGTCTTCTTTTGTCAGAGCTCATCTTTAGAATGTCAAAAAATCCTTCTTGAGGATAGCCACTAGCATGGACACTTATTCATAGTAATTTGTAAGCCTAAATAATTTTCAAAGATCACGTAATTCAGCGTCGAATACAATGCGTATATGGTAATGTGATTTGGTTCACAATTCTAATACCATTTGACGAACGTTAGTTAAGTAAATAACTAAAAAGCTAGTTATTTTATGGATAATGTAAATCACTCAAAACTTCTATGGAGTAGCCATTTGTAAAAACGATAAATTCTCTCCAACTTTTTTTGTACAATTATTTCATGGAAACGGAATTGGTAACTTAAGTTACCTTGATTGGTAAATTATCTTTTCGGAAACCCAACAAATCGCAAAATGATACAGTTATTGAATAATTCTCATTACGAAGTAAGCAAAGCTAGTCGTTCACCTTAAAGACATATTCTGTGTAAATGCCGACAACTTTTGGACTATTAGTCTCAGTTTATAATCAGTTCTCAATAATCAATAGTCTATTGATTGTAGGCAGTAATTTACTGTTTTCCATAGAGTACATACACACTTTATTCCTTCACAGAGATTGGAAACTTAACATGAAGTAGTTGTTCATAGTAATTTATCAATGACTGTCAAGGTTACAGCGACCTTAACAGAATCAATCAATCTCACTTAATAAATGAAACATACCTCATTCGGATAAGCGATTCCTTCCATATGTTCTGCACCGCAAGCACCAATGCCTTGATGAAAATTCGAAGAAAAAAAAAACTAGCATAAACAGGAATTCATAATTTCGCTAAATTTATGCGAAATCTGAAAAAATAGAAACAACTGTGAGATGTTGATCATATTGCTTGTAATAAAACACTTTAAAATTACACTGTCGCCTGGTAAATTTGTTGTATTTTGCGTTTACATTGCGTTTACTCATAAGTGTAAAATGGAAACCTTAGATTTTTCACGATGAAAATAAATAAGTGATAAGATTGCAATAATCAAACTTATTTTACATTTATTAATTCGTGGTTGAATATTTGATAGCAGTTTATGCTGGCAATAAATAATAAGTCGCAAACATAACTAAATACTGATAAATTTAATGGAAATTGTCTTTACACTTGTTTCCACCTTAGTAATTTTCTAGTTTACAATTTTCACCAGTAATTCTGGTAAAAATAGAAAAATCGACTAATAGTTTCTCCCGACTCTTGATTAGTTTATTTACATTAGTTTTAATTATAGTGAAATGCCAGAATTTAAGAAATAACACCTATGAATATGAAGTTGCACAGTGAACAGGCGAGTAAAACGTGTCAACTTTTAAAACTTTGACTCATTTTAAATTATGTCTAAATGGTTTCAGAATCAATGTAAAATGCTCCAATGAAAGCAGAAAGTAGAAAATTATTTTCATCGATCATGAAGCATATGCTTAAGATGGACCGTAACATCAACCTACATATAACTCTTAAAGCATTGTGTAGAAATTGTTCAGAACAAATTATTTTCATGATTCACCTTATCAATTTATGATGAAAACTGTCCTGAAATTTAATTCTGTCTTCACATAAAAAAAACCATACATCTAATTTTTTGAAAGAAAAGAAACATTACACGATTGTCTTTCCTTTTGATCATGTATATCTGTAGGTATTTGGCTTAAAGTATGCAATATTAAGTTTCATTCATTCATCAATTAACAAATTCACTTATAACATACTGTATTTCATTAAATAGATGGATACTAATTGAAATAGGCTTAGATATTTCAATGGTCAATCAAACTTAAACATGCTTATTAAGCACGGACTCATGATGAGTTGATCCTTGAAAGGTTTATAAACTATGTTGAAATAACAGTCCAATGAACTCTGATTGACAATCATTTCCAGGCTGATATCAATTCATAATATAAAATAACTCTAAATGTACATGAAATCTTTTGTTTACTGTTTTACATTTAAAATTTAAATTAAGGAAATCAGAGGTTTAATTTTACTGATGTTACTTCAAAAAGGATTATCTTTGGTACTGATTAAAAAATCTGTTACGCTTACAATTGTTATATTTCGTTATTGTTCGACTGTGGTCATAGACTATCAGGTATTCAGTGCTTTAATCTATATGATACAATCACATCAATCAAGCAATAGTTCAACATATTAACTACTCTGGTGGCTTTGTGTGCAAACTGTCTGAAACTGTTTACTTTTAGAATTAATCCAAAGTGTATTTAGGATAGTGAGTGAAATATTCTAGGCGGAATATATACTGTTTAACGGGGATTTTATTTTTCTGTTTTCTGATGATACACAATGATGAACAAATCTATTTTTTAATTATCGGAAATTTCGTAAGAAAATTATGAGTAAGGGTTATTTATTTTCCGTTGCTGATATGCAGAGCTTCATTTGCTTAGTTTTTGTTAGTAAATAGGCATCCAGAGTAAATAGTCTCGATATAGCATTTAGTCACGAATTTTAGTATATTTTGCATGTGGTCAAGAATGTAGTCTTAGATAGGTGTTCTTTCTAATTAAGAAGTTTTCTGCCGCCTTTCCTTCCTCCATTTTAATGATTCGAAATGCTGCTGGGAAACATTCGAAGTCAGGATCGATAACATAATTGCATATTCTTTATGCATCGCCAATGTTAAACATTCACAGAGAATCAGAATTTCGGGTATAACTTTTTCAATCTAGGCCGCATTCAGTCATCCGGAGATTTGGGTCAAGGGCCATCAACTAAGAGAAATTTTCTTGGAGGGAATACTGGGCAATGACTATGCTTCCAAGTTTATATCATCGGTAATCATTCGAACAGTAACCTAGCCACCTGAATGAATATAAGAATACATACGTTCGAACTTTTGTATGAGCATGGGAGGTTGACGATTATTTACTACCAATAACTTCAGCAGTATAGTTTGTATGCTGATTAGAAAGACCACAAACTACTGTTGGACAGTTACAATAAGAAGCAACTCTTTTAGAGTTGCAAAACGTCTACGTCTATCTTTCACAGAGGATAATCTAAGTATAACTGAAACATAAACATCACACTAACATCTTGATTATTTTCAGTATATTTTATTTATCAATTTAAATTGTAATATGAAAGAAATGACCTAATTACTGTAAGTTTAACAAAATACGATATATTAATGTAATTTAATGTTCATTTGGTTGAATGACAGAGTCTTGTTACCGTTTAGAAAATTGTAATCGCACAAACATGCATTCATCTAAATATAAATGCAAACACACACATTAGCTTACGCATAGAGAATGATATTATTTATTGTTAATGACCTTTGAGAATTTAGTACATTTTATTTGTCAGATTACTTTTTAAACCTTCATCTACATAATTTACTGATTTCTTTTGTTATTTTCTGGTTTCATAATTCATGAAGGTTATATTATGATGCATACGTCATTAAACGTATATATATAATGCATATACACAAATGTACTAATATGTGTAAAAGATTGCATGTACTCATGTCTAATCACAGTAGTGATAAACTAAATTATTATCTTAATTGTATATTGGTTTTCTCTACTGTAAAACAACACAAAATGAAGAAGATAGTGGAATCTATATTTAAATATGTCATTTTTCAGTCCAGTCTGTAAAATCTATTCCTAGGACATTTAGGTTTATAGCGATACAATCAATAGACCATTAGGTTGACACCTAAGAATTCACATCCCCAATTTCACTAAACTCGCGAATATAAACTTGAAGGTTTTGGTTCAAATCCCAAGTCGGACAATGTGTATACAATGATAAAGTGTCTCATACTACGAGGAAACAACTATACATTGATCTTTCATTTCTGATAGGACGTCAGTTGCAGCTATTTTGTGATGAATAACACTTGTCAATCAAATGAACACTCACTAAAATCCTTCGATAAAATTTATATGATCAAAAACTGATCTCAAAGCCGTTTTCTCTTGTTTACTTCATTTAAAATTAATGGACACTAATCTTCATCACTAATTATTTAATAAATAAATAAGATTGAAGAAAAATTTATAAAGTTAACTTGTGATAAACGTTTTTCATACTACATAATAATTACCGACTGGTTTGTTAAAATATAAATTTAAGAAAATATTGAGTGTTTGTAACGGACTCATCTTTTTTTTTTCTACTATGAAACTTACATAAAGTTCATTATAAGTCTAGACATAGTTGATACAAGATTAAATAAGAACATTGATTGAAATAATAAAAAAAGTTGACTCGTTTTTCATGACAAATTCTCTATGGTATTTTGTTTTACACTTGTGTGTTAATACATTGTTTTTTTCTAATGAGTAGGTTAAAACGCTCTGAAAAAAATTTTTTTATTAAAAGTTTAACCATCTTCCTTAAAAAAGTGATCCATAATTTAAATTAATGTTATGTTTTCTTTAAAGAAACAGAAATTTACCAGTAGTTTCTGGCATTCTTAAAATCATTTTGATCAAGAATTGGGTTTAGATAAGTTAGCCAAAATAATGAATGTGAATGAATTATCTTGGTTTTGATCTGCTTATTTGAAATAGTTATTTAATTTATTTTCAATAGTTTCAAGGCTCACACATCAACTATTTTTGAGAATGATATTATGATACTGTTATTTTTTTATGATAAATCAAATATAATGAATAGTAAAACATGTTTTCAAACTACTCATAACATTACATCATGGCACATGGAATTTCAATTAACCAAATTACTAGTAGGCAATATAATCTAACATATAAAAAGATCAAAGGGATTGTTTTGTTCAGCTTTATGTCATTAAACAACTGTAATATATATATATATATATATATATATATATATATATATATATATATACATATAATACTCCGATACAATAAAGCCTTCATTTATATCTCTACAATTACCAACTTCACAAAGAACTGAATGACCGAAACATACTTTTTATGATTATAACTCTTTGCAAAAGTTATTCTTTTTATTAAATTATTTATTTGTCTGTATGTTTGGAAAATTATTGTACATAAAGATACCAGTAAAAAATTTTTCAAGTATCTAATGAATATTTTAGTAATAATGGTAATAATAATTAACGTGTATTATCTGTACAAAATGTAGAACTACTTTACTGGATCCTATATTAATGACTGAAACCGTATTATAATGTTAACAGACAATCATTTTCATTTCAAGTCATAACACAATCAAATGAACTATTCAAGAGGACTAAGTAACAAAATGTTTGTATAGAAAATACAAAAAAGCAAACATGTACATCAAATGTTAAATAGAATTAATGAATATTCATTTACCACTCGCTTCTCAGATAACAATCTTAAATTAGTTCTAGGAAATAAGTAATCTGAAGAATATTTCTCTAATTCAATGAATTATAATAGCCTATCTAATCAGTTTCCATTATTGAAATAAAATATTTAAGAAATTATAAGCAATAAACCATTTACACTGTCAGTCTTGTTTTAACTATGCAGAACTGTTATTTTTTTAACACTTATATTCTAGCTTAAATAAAACTACTGCAGTTGCATTTTGTTGGGAGCATTTCAATAGAGAAACATTACATTTAATATGATTAGTGAAAGATACAAGGAAATATAAATACGAAAGACATGTATATAATTGATCAATGTATACTAGTCTATGTACTGAATAGTATAAATGATAGAGATTGCTTACATATATGAATGTAAAAATTCATTCTCATAATGAATCAAGTAGAC